GAGACTATAAATTCATAAAATTTATTTATTTCAATTTTAGGTTAACTAAATTGTAGTTTAGATTTTTAATGAGGTCACCTATTCGACTATAATGATTAATAATTTTTTTTTATGAAATTAAATTAAAATTGCTAACAATTATATTAGATACCTACTATATAGGTCATAAATAAAATATAACATTTATTAGATACCTATTAAATTATGTGACTAGTATTTATAATCAATTCCTTAAATTAAAATTACACACTTTCTAAACCATGTTTTGGAAAATAAATCAATCAAGTAGTAAAAGTAACTATATAATATATTACATGTATAGGTATGTCATAGTAAATAAACGTAAATAGAAGAATTGTTTTATTTAATTTATTTACTAATAGAAAAGGCTTCAATAATACAATGATTAGCCTGTAAGAAAAGACTTCTTTATTGTTAACCTATCTACATATTATCCAATTATAAACCAATTAGTAACCTATCTAGATTAATTTATTAGTTTTACATAATTAAAATATTTCAAAGAATTTTACTTTTAATTGAAATGTACACATTTTAAAGTAAAAATAAATTTACATTACTTTTAGGAATAGGTACCTAAATTTGTTATTTTTTTTTTTTTTTGAAACAAAAAACAAACTTTCCAATTATTGAAACTTTTTAACATATTAAATTCAATAACTAAAAAATCCAAATAAAATGAAAAAAATTAAAATAAAATAACAATATAATTTATACCGACATTTATAATAAAAATCATTGATGATACCTTAACAATTTCAGAAGACATTCCTGGTTTTGGACATCGTGCCATATAAGTGGCTAAATCTTGTTCGATATGTTCAAATACCAAATAAAGTGTCATACATCTTTCATTATATAACCGTGGACCATGTACCACATCCAAAAGTCTAAATAGTATTTAAGAAATAGTATAATCACCAGAGTTAGTTATGACTTTGTTTAATATGTACTTGACAATATTTGGATGTTCCTGTTGATCAAGCTGCTTGAGTAGAGCAATCTCACGCAGAGTAGTCATAGGTACACCATCTTGAGCCAACGGTATTTTAATCTTCTTCATGGCCACAAATTTGCCTTTATTAACAAGATCACGTCCCTTATAGACAGTACCGTATGCACCTTCAAAAAAAAATATACCAATATGATTATTCATTACACTGGACATTGACCATGTGGGTAATACCATTTCCAATCTGATTGAGTTCTTCATAATTTTCCTTTTCCTGCAGTATGGTTGACATTGCCGAAAATGTCTTGTTTTGCAACCGAGACAATGGCGATACCATGGTGACTGCGGCCGAAGAAAATCGTTTTGGTTAATGTTACCGATCTCGACAAGACCGCCGTGAATACTTGACGAACAAATCACACATATACACGAGGTGTAAGGGTATCACGACAAAACGTCCTTGACACGAATCGGAAATCCTTCCGACCACCTGTAGACAAACTCCAACGCTTTAGGGCCAGATGGGAACGCAACAGAAACCTCCTGGACAGCGACCGCTTGAACCCTGGCTCGTACAGCCGAGCAGTCGACGGCGCACTTCCGGTGGATTCCTGTGCACGGACACACGCACACACACACGCACAAACACACACTAACACACACAGATTCAGACACACACACATACACACACACACACACACACACACACACACACAATCACTACGAGGAGTGTGTTCAGTGCTGCTGCTTATGTATTTGAGGACCGCTCTACTACTGTTGTTGCTGCTTCTACTACTACTACTGCTATACTGCTGTTACTCAATGCCCGCAGCCTGCTGCTTGACGTGCTTGTCCTGCTGCAGCTGAAGGCAATGATGATGGTAGTTGTGGTGGTGATGGTGGTGGTGGTAGTAGAACTATCACAGGGGTGTGAGTGTGTGTGCAAGGCGGCTGCTGTTATATCCGTTGGCCGTGAAAAACACCTGGCGTTTGGGTACCCGAACAAAGGAAATGCCGCAAAAAAAAAATATAATAATAATAAAAGTAATAATAAAAAAAAAAACCGTTTGTTTATAATTTTAAAGGTTACCTATTTCATTTTCAGGGGTTCGCAAAACTCAACCAGTTCCGCCGCTGGCCGCTTGCCCCGACCGCCGGTCTCTAAACCGCTCGGTTGCCCGACAACACCGCTGTTGCAATTCGGTCGTTTTTGCGTTTTCTCCCAACCCGATTAGGAACGCCCATAGCCGACTCGACGCATTAGACCCAATCTGTTCGGACCAAAAATTTGAGATCTCCTGACACCGAGACAACCGGTTTCCTGTCACACTGTTGTTACCATGGTTACCCGTCTGATGGTTGCTGCGGTCGATATAAAACAAAACACCGAACAGCTGATTGATATTTACGTTTTGAAAGCGATCCACGACCACATCCGCACGTCATCTGTGTCGGAATATTTAAAAGAAAAAATGAATAAAACATAATATTTTATTTTTAATCGTCAATGACGAATACGGAACAGATAGGTATCTCCTCAAAAATCTGATCTCGAAGGTATACCCACATAATTTATGAATTGAAGCTCGGAGTAGATAGGTAACGCAATAATACCTACCCTTATATTGGTTCATCGACATTTAATTTTCTAAATGTGAAACGATTTTGGATATTATGCCATGCATGGCACATGACACAAAGTACATTTTTTTAATAATGCACATTTATAAGTCGTTAAAGTTTCTTGAAAGAAATCAATATTTAAAACAAAATTAAATGGCTTACTGGGTACTAAAAAATAATTTACATTTTTTAAATATAGACCAACCATAACATAATGTTAAATAACGAATAAGTGTTAAATTATGATCCAAATTTTAATTCATTCTATGGAAATAATTCAAAACTTATCTATAGTATGCATTGCCTAGTTTCAAAAAATGAATTTGCTACATTTCTACAGTTGTAGTAATACCTATACAGTATGGACAGTACTGGGTATTGATATAATTGTTGTAGGTAATGAATGCCAGTAGGTAGGTACTTATCTATTACTATGAAATTGTACTATTAACACATTATATTTCATTTATTTTATTTTATTAGATTTCTAAGAACAAGTTCAATTGTTTTCAATTTAAAAATAATTGTTAGGATAGACTCTAATCACATGAAATTGTGGAAAAAAAAGTATTTTTTTAATTGAGTAAAAGAAAATAAACCATAAATATTTAGCTGTAAAAACAAGATATAATATAATTTCTAACATGATAATTTATGTAACAACATTAATAATAAAATAATTAATATTAACCTACTTCTTTTAGATAAAAATCTATTTACCTAGAGATACCTAATTATATACATACATTTTCTTTTATCTAATTATCTAATTATCTAATTAAGAATAATCATTGAAGTCGATATTTTATCGAATTAATGCTAAATCATTTTTGGCAACAAATTGTTGAAAAAAGGGGTCACTCTATTTGAGTATTATTATTATATTCACTCGATATTTTACTATAAAGTAAACAGTATTTTTCTGATAAGACTATTAAATTAGCACTTAATTAAAAAATAATTTCTTCCACGAAAATTCCTAAAAAATGTACACACGAATTCATGTTTCATACCAAAATAATTATAATTTTTGACACAATAGCCGATAAGTCAAAAATAGCGGTGATTAAAATGATCATTTTTTTTAAAAAAAATCTAGTGAGTCATTCATTATACTTATAAAACAATTTCTCTGGTAGGTGTGTTTTTTTTTTAATCTATATTTTTCAAAAACATCCGGTAAAACCAATGTTTTGACGTTTAAAAGTTCCGAAAAAACTATTCGGAGAGCCACATTACAGATCCCACCATCCCGTAGAGTTGGTCATTTGTTTCAATCTGTATAATCACTCCAACTTACATAACCAACCTACGTTGTTGAATTAATTTTTTTTTAGCAATATACCTGTTGTAAAACTTAAAATTGTATACAAAATATCAGTAGCCCATTGTCTCTAGTATAAGAAAGTAATAAGTAGGTTTAATAACTACATATCATGGTTAGATTAGGTTAATCATGGTTGGGTATAGTAACACAACCAAGAGGGTGTTTTGGGTGTCTGGACTCTGGACATCCCCTTACATCCGTGTTTAAATAATTGTGTTAAAAAAAACGTATATTTTTTTTCAATGTAGATATGTGACACCCCCCTTCAAAAAATTCTGGTTGTACCACTGGTTGGGTATTATCTTTGGACTTGTATACAAGTATCTTAGATATAATTGTATCTTTTATCTTATATCGCACAGTTCTGAAATTTATCGAGCATTTTATATTACGGTAAATCAATGTATCTAGATACTCATTTATAGTATCTTGCCTATCTCTGTCTATAATTTATGTACCTATCTATAAGAATGATTTTATAGATGGTCACTGCGATTGACGAGATTATAACTATATTTTATAGTTTTTTTTTGGGATTTAAAAATTGGGGAACTAAATGAATATTCGATAGTAGATAATTTTTTTTCTAAAGATCAGTTATAAATCATATCATGAATGAAATTAAATAATATTCGATTCGCTTTGGGAATTTTATATAAAAATAATCATTCTTGATTGTTAGGAACCCGGATCAAAATTATCGCCCAAATAGGTACCTTTATGTAAAAAATAATGTATAATGTATTAATATGATCATTATATTATGACCATTGACCATACAAATATATTATAAAAGAATTTAAAAACACACACGGTAGTGACGAATATGGATGATAGAATTCAGGTTCGAGGCAATTGCAGGTGAACAGTGACGGCGGTGGCCGAAATTCGTACAGAATTGTCAAAACAAAGAAAAAGAACATTATAATACAATAATTACCTTAATATTAATAAAAGTCTCCTTTTTACACATTAGTACATTATTATTATCTTTCTAGGCGGCTTGCCCGCGCACGATTTTAAATCGCCACGCATGTGTAGCTAAAACACAATAATTAGAAATAGTATTATGATTTATGAGAGGTAATACTGTTTAAAGCCGCGCGAAAAATCACTTAACCAACAAAAAAAATACCACTGGATCCAGTGAACATAATATTATACTTAGTGTAAATGTTTAAATCCCTTAAATTATTGAGTTACATTTACACGATGAATTAAACAAACAACTAAACACAAGCCCATAATATGAATACAGTTCATTTTATGAAGTTTTTTTAAAGTTTAACCGTCGACCCGTCGTATAAAAAATAAAAACGATCTATATTTTCATACCCTATAATAAACAAAATTGGTGGGAATTCAGGAAGGTAGGATACATACAATTAATTAATTTATATCTGCATGCAACAATAAATCATTGCTAACGAAAAGCGATTCTGAGCGAAGTTCGGTTGAAGACGTTTAGAAATGCCATAGTTTTTAAAAATTTCATCAAAATTTGTTCTTAAAATGCTTAAAAAAAAAACTACGATTTTATGGCACCCAACTTTTGACCATTAAATTAAACTTACAATGAAACTCGTAGTCAATTTTCAAGCATTTTTATTTAATTATATTTACATTAAACCAAATAAAATCTAAAAACTAATAAATGTCAAATACCTTTAAATAAATAAATAATAATAATACAAATATCTTACAAATCACTAGAATGCTTTAAACATTTTATCAGTAAAGGCTAATATAAGAAGTATTTTGTAAAAATACCATGTCTTTACATAACTACAAACCTAAGTACAACAATAAAAAAAATGGAAAATAATGAAATCGTTAATGCTGAAAATCTGTCTTCTCCTTTTATTTAGTTTTTCTCAATTATTACGAAAACCGCTTGGAAAATCAAAAAATGGCATTTTTAATGCATCAATTGAAACGAAACAAGGTCTATTGTCACTTTTTATTGGAATAAGATGTCTGGTAGAAAAGTTATTTACTGACAAAACAAAAAAAAAAAATGCTTTTCTCAGAATCTGAAACGAATGTCTGTATTAAATTATTATCTGAATTTAAAGTAGGTATCAATCGACTTTCCATCATTTGCAGCTTGCACTGCTATTGCTATACGCTGTTATGCTGATAGGTTTTTTTTGTTGTCATGAGAGAAATGCAGACCCCTTCTTAAAGTCGCAATTATATTAAATGTGCAGCTGCATATTCCGTGCGCATGCCTATAGGTGCATAATAATATGAACTCTATAGTGTTTGGTGGATTTAATATAATAGAAAGACCGAATATAATATAATATGAAGGGGAGTTCAAATAAGAATAACACCTTTGCGTTTGCAACTCTCCCCAACTATATTATATAGGTATATATGCCATTTGACAGTCTAATAGCGTCTAAATGCAGTGACGTAACCAGGAATTTTGTATGGGAAGGGTTAAATTCCACTAAAAAAAAAAATCTCCATTAAAACATTCTCTTCACTTATACTTTAATCATGTTTTTAAAAGATTATACAATAAATTAGTTGTTCAAATAAAACATTATAATATTATTATCATTATTTATTATAGTCAGTCAATATTTGTAGATTATGAACACCTGTCTTCTAATTACATTAGAGTTGACGTAAATGTATAAGTACTGACCGGGATATTTATAATTTACCAAAATAATTTCCAATGTCGCTTTTTTTTTTTTTTTTGAATTTATTGTATTATAAAAAATTGTAAATCATTCCATAGAATTGTAATTAGTAATACTAATAATAAGACTACGAATACATACTTATTTTATCTTTAAAATATTATATTTTTCACCCTTTTTGACCATTTACTATCAGTGATCATCAGAAAATGCCACTTTTGTAAAATATACAGTTTGGTTCAAATCAATGCAGTATAATACATGATTGTCGGTTGTCGGCGTAGGTTTAAGTTAAGTTGGATTAATCGTTCTTATGCACGGAAATGGTCCGCCCGCAATTTAATTGTTTGAATAAAACTGCCTTTAAAAAGCTACCCTAGAATAATGGAACGGGTGCAGCCACTGTTGTAGGTGGGGAGTTGGGAAAGTAGGATATAAACGGGAATTTAATGAATATCTGTAAGCAACGATTAACCATAACGATTTCTAACGAAAAAACGATTCTGAGGGGAGTTCGGTTGATTATAGTGTTGCTTTGTCAACAATATATGTATGTCATATTTTGATAAAATAATTATATATGCAATAGGTACACATAGTTTTTAATAATATCTGTTTAATATTATACCTATTTTTCCGTTCTTTTGGTTTACCCATGTTCTACCTAGTTTTTCCCAAAAAAACTTTTGGGCAAACTCCTTGGAAAATCAAAAAAAATGACCGCTTTAAAGTACCACCCTAGTCAGATTTCCTTTGGAAAAAGTGCTATCATTGTAAATCGGAGTAAAATTTACGGTAGAAAAGTTGTTCACAGAAAAAAAAACATCATTTTCCCAGAAGTGGAGACATTAAAGTGTTTTGAATGATCAAGAAATAAGCTAACTCTTGGAAATGAGTTTCTGAATGGAAATGGTTTCTTTCTCAAATATTAACCTTATAAACAGCAATTGGTAGGAAAACGAAAGCGACAAGCTATTCAACATTTTTTTAAAAATTCATCAGCATTTTGCTCTAATTCCTTTAACAATAAATGTACTAAGAACTATGGTTGCAAGACTCAATAGTCATCTAAAACGTCTTTCATTCCAACAAATGTATTTTAAAGTTATAATGATATGATATCAATCATTGAGTATTTGGGTAGAAAATAACCAATCGAAAGCGTTGTTCAGGATCATTAAATATTTTATTTTTGAGTTAAAACATAGACAGCTCAGTCAAAAATGCTTGTAAACTTATTTTTTTCTAAATGAGAAGATCCGGGACATTACCCTAGTTATTCCTTAGTAATTCCGGCCTGACCGTAAGTTAGTTTTCATTCTAGTAAAGGTGGAAAATGTTCTCTCCGGTGTAGCAGAGGTTAGGTTTTCAACATTGCTAAAATAGTTATTTAAATTTATTAATAAGATATTATAATATTAGATATAATATATTGAGTATCTAGATATTGCTATTAGCTAAAACAAACACTGTCAATTAGGAGAGCTGTAGCCCCTTAGTCCCCCTCTGGATGTGCCTCTGGATGCGAATAGGTGAGCACGAATAGGTGTACTGGTAGATGTTAGATCATTATAATCTAACCTTACCTAACTTATTAATAGTGTTACGTGTAAGGTTTGGGAAATCTCAAATCTAGAATCTGGTTAGGTATAGTTAAAAACATAACTAAATAATAAATAATTTATTAAGTACCTACTAAAAACAATGTAAAATATTCTATCCTGAAAGATTTAACATTTTTATGAAGTTTACAATATATTTTCAGAAAGCTAAAGAATTTATGGGAAACTTTCTATGGGGTCCCAATAGGAGAGACAAAGGGACAAACGTCTCCCTTGACAAATATTAAAGTAATTTATAATTGATTCGGTTCTGACTTAATAAAACTTTATACCAGTATTACTATTTACTGGCCATATTTATGCTGCTAGAACATAAAAAGTACAAATAAATTTGCATTTTAATTTTATTGTTTATTATTTTTTATTTTTTATTTAAGATATTTCCACAATTTTACCCAAACTAGATACTTTTTTGAATAATTAGTTAGGCATTAAAAATTACTTTATATTTAGTTTTAAATAAATAAAAAAAGTACATAATACCTTTAAATCAATCATCAATAATGCTGTATGAATGTATGATAAAAGTAATTAAAATATTACAATGAAGGTACCTATTATTGAGTTTTTAATTATTTTAGCATATAACTATTACTGTGGTGCAACGAAATAACCTAAAACAGACGTCCTAAGATAATGGGGACAAATGCAGCCACTGGTATAAGTAATTTAATGTATCTACCTGTAAACAACGATAAACCATTACTTACGAAAAAACAATTCTGAGCGGAGTTCAGTTGAAAGTGATGCTTTGTCAACAATTTAAACGTCATTCAATAATTAAATATGCTTTATACGTTTTCTTTAATAATATTTGATTAATATTGTACCGATTTTTCTTCGTTTTTCCCGGTTTTTCACATTTGCTATGAAAATTCATGAGAAAGTCGAAAAATTACCTCTTTAAAGTACACCTCAGTGAAATTTCCTTTTAGAAAAATTGCTACCATTTTAAATTGGAACAAAATCGCTGGTAGAAAAGTTGTCCACAGAACAAAAAAATAAATAATAATAAACATCTTTGTAAAACCATAAGTTCCTTTGCTTCAATCAGAATCCAAAATTAATTA